ACATCAGATCCGCAGTACAGTAATATTTAGAACCTTAATTTCTGTGAAAAATTACTACGAATTTTTTACTCTACTAATTGGATTATACTTAAGTTCATGTCACTCTAACAGATAAATACATATAACTAGAAAATTTATATCTTTTCAAAATTCAAACAAAATCCTCACTTGATCGATTTGAACCAGAACTCTAGAATCGAGACATCGCATGATCTACAATATATATTTAACTTTCAATAAATAGCATAATTTAAGCAAAACATTTTTCGGTCTACATATATTTCGTCTTAGTGTTTGCTTATGTATGAGGAAAAATTGCGCCCTGAAGATGACAATTTGAAATTGTCAAAAGTACTTGATATGTGTCTTCCATCTAACAACAACTCGAATATAAGTATCTTATTATTCAAGAAACTGATAGTAAGTTAATGTCTAATTAATTTTTGTTAGCGAAGTGATTTTGGCATAAATGATGTCAACATTGCTATTTATTATAATATATTTATATATATATATATATATATATATATATATATATATATATATATATATATATATATATAAATTCATGAATCATTCATACAAAAAAAACAAATTTTGAAGTTAATGATTTAAATTCGCAAACAATATCAGTAAGATACACCAACCCCGAACCTGTATATGAATTATATGATCCCTGTTTATAAATTCCAGTTGCATAAGGTCTTTTTAATTTTTTACAAGTTTTCGTCTGTTCCTACAGGCATCCTCAGGTATGGAAATAGATTTGTTCTTGTTTTTACTTCTCGGTAATAAGAGGACAACGAAAATAGAAAAATGAAATCCGAAGAAATGCTATGAGAAATGTGTTATTGTTTTGAAACGTGCGGTCGCAACGCTGAGTTTGAATTTTAAATTTTAAGGTTGTGCGTTTTTGTACAAACATAATAAGAGAATTCTTTTTTACTGGTAGGTTTTCCGTCAATGTGGTAAACAGGGATCATATCATTCATATATAGGTTCGGGGTTGGTGTATCTTATTAATATTGTTTGCGAGGATGTATTCTCGCCATTTAAATCATCAATCTCTATATTTGTTTTTTTGTGTGAATGATTCATGAATTTATAAATTATAATTGCACCTATAATTGAAATATATATATATATATATATATATGTATATATATATAGCAAACGTTTGTTAAATTTAATTGATCTTATATATATAAATGATAATCACCTTTATTTATTATGAGTGCAAACCAAAGAGAAATTTTCGATTCCACGTTTAAAGAAATACTGTTTTTCAAAATATCCTTTGTTTTGCTAGTTGGTGGACTTATAATTCTTGCCAATCAAATACATAATTTTCGAAAAAATTCAGTCATAACTGTTATCACCCAAACAATACTCGTTCGGATAATATAATAAACCTTTTACCCATAATGCACCATTGATCAGCATACATGAATAGTCATAACAGACATGGCCCGAAGAAAGCGTTCACGCATGAAACAAACTATTCGCGCGGGGCGTTAACCTCAATGTTCAGTTTTATATTTACATATGCTCTATCCCTAGTATTGAGTACTTTATTCTATTCCATGCATATAGCATACCCTAAATATTTTATCATATATATATATATATATATATATATATATATATATATATATATACTAGAAGCATGACACGGCGTTTCCCGTGCTTGATTCAAAAATCCTACGACTCATACAGCAATTGCTATCACTTGACTTAAAATAATTTTGCCCTTCCTTGCCTTTAAAGGAGTGCCCTTTGCCGTGCTGATGTTGCTACATGCCTTACTTCTTGCCTATCTCACACTGCGAATTTTTCTAAACTCTATACTAAACATTAAATCTGTTACGAAAAAAGAACTAAACAAAATGAACACAAAACGATCAGCTTTAAAAAAGGACTCGTAGCTGGAAAAACCAAATGAAAAAAGAATGTTAACAACAAATACTTTTTCACACCCAACCCAGTTCTGCGGAATCAGAATCAACGTTGAGTTTAAGCAAGTGAATGAGCCAATTGGAGTAAAGTGCCATGCAGATTTAAATTTTTCCCACTTGTGATGAATGCATCTACCGTTTTTTTTTTTTTTTTGCCTGCAAGCATGCTAGTTAACATTTTTGTCAGTCTGCTGTTGGCTCTCACGCTGGCCTATAGAATCTTCCTGCCCTTTCGTGGCAGCCAGCTATAGGCTCTCACTCTGGCCAGTACAAATGGCTGCAAACTACATGAAAACTGCCGTAGAAGCATGAAAAAATCGATTATTTCCGCTATCGATGGGAGTTGGGAAATGCAAAGTCGGTCTTGGCCTTCCCGCTAACTTGGAGCCAAAATGTACCATTAACCAGCATATATAAATAGCCTAATATAAACAAACACACATGGCCTGAAGATAGCGGTCACACATGAAACAAACTGTCAACACCCAGTATCCACTTTTATATTTACAAATGTTCTATCCTTGATATACCCATTATGCAGCCTACCTTAAAACTATATTGTATAGACTTGTTTTGAGCCATGCTCTGGACACCTAGCCATGGAGTAATACGCGTTGGTCACGCAGCTACCACCTACGTTGGCGAGCTATGTTATGACCCAGAATGCCACCCATAATGATCTTCCGACCTTGATGCGGGACGCTGAAGGTTGGCGTGATAGTCTTATGAATGTCCGAGCTAGCTCGACCGAATAATAAAATTAATAATTTGTGCAATTACAAATTATAATTCATAATTAGTGCAATGACAAACGGCATTACTCGGAGAAGGGGTTCCTAGACTGAAGTCACTGGAAAGAGCGGAGGGTAGCTCTGATGGAATAAACACCCACATGACCGTGACCAATATAAGGCTTCACGCTGGAAGACCTCAGCAATGGCCTGTCCTGGAGATGGATTTACCCCGCCAGCGAAGACACGCTAAGAACACGCTAAGAGCAAATGGCAAAAACACGCTAAGAACAAATGAATATCTCTTCGGCTTCTAATCCAGTTATGTATAGGGAAGTAAACTTCATTTTTGGCTATAAACTGGCTCTTGTAAAAGTAGAAGATAGCAGGCTGGGTCAAGTACTTACTGGAGCCCTTCTTGGAGCCGATTATTTGACCTTCATCTTTACCAATGGATTGTATGTGCGAGTTGAGTTCAGTTGAGAGTTTGAAGCCCAACAGGAAGACATATATCACGTAACATTTCAGTTAGGACTCGCAAAAAAAAAACGATAATTCTCAAAACTCAGTTTAAATGTTAGTTATTCTTAAAACAGATTAAAAACCGGTTTTGGCGGACTTATAGTAGTGTCCCCTAACATTTCTTTCTTTTTAGACATCAAAGTTTCAGATTATCGCGAAAAACTTCGGAAAAATGTATTATTTTCAAAGTTTCCGGTGGAGTGAAGATGGTCATTGTGTCATTCAAGCTTATGTTAAAATGATCCCCTTAATTAACTCGATATGCTGCAAAAGAAAAAAAGTTGACAGATATTGGCTATGCAAATGACCTAGCTATTACTGTACTGACCATAAAAAATTCCACAGTTCTCTTACATCATCTAGAAAATGCTGTCAACCTTGCTGGAATATGTCAATGCCTCTAAAACGGAATACATAGGCGTCAATCAGCAAAGTTAAATACAAACTCTCTTATGTGAATCAATAAAATCTATCGACACTTTTACATACCTAAATAAATTCTGCTGAAAAAGATGCGAAAATTCGCATAGATAATGTCTGGTGTGGCTTGAATAAAATGGATGTAATCTGGAAATTTGATCTACCAGACAACCTCAAGCGGAGATTCTTTTGAGACAGTGTGAATGTATAGTGCCATTTCCTAGACATTAACTATTAGGTTGGTGCAAAAATAATGACGTAAGAATGTCGTTTTTTGACGTTAAAAAATACGTCAAAAAACGACATTACGTCATTATTTTTTCACCAACCTAATAAAACCCTAAGGTCTACGTTTAATAGAAACTATTCTCGGATGCTGAGAGCTATACTTAACATCTCTTTGAGACAACATCCAACTAAATCCCGGCATATGGATCCATCCTTAATATTTCTACTCTCTTACGCGAATGGAGAATACGTTTTCCAGGACACTGCTTGCAAGAAAAAGCAAGACCTCTCGAGCGATATATTGTTCTGGACATGGAGCAAGATGGGTTGCTCGCCCAGCAACCATATATGTTGATCAGCTATGTTATGACACGGAGGGCGCCGATAATCATCTTCCGACATTAATGAATATCTGAGCGAGCTCCATCAAATAATATGAAGTGCTATTGAAAAGCTTCTTTTTTTTTCTTTTTTTTTTACCCGGTTTCTTTCTTTGAGAGGAAGAGGCTCCGATGGGTCGGATTGTCTTTTAAGCAGCAAAATCTCGTAAATATAAATAGAAACAGATTTGGAATTATCTGAAATTTAATTTCTATAACATTTCCGTATACTTTAAAAAATAAATATCAAGCCTTTAGCCGCTTCTTGTGTTTGTCTCGTTAATGTAGATTTTGTTGAAAGAAAATTATGTTGCAGACGACATTGCTTCAACAACACTGAGGTTTTTATTTTCTTCAAATTGTCTTATATAATTGTAATTCCGTCGGATTCCCATCTCCAAATTTTTTTTATTTATATTCCATAAATAGATCATTATTATAAAAAGAATTTCTTTTTGAATAGATAGAAGTCTTTCTTTTTCATTGACTTTTTGTTTTACAATTCGAAATTTGTATTTTTCAATTTATTCTTGAAATATAATGAGCTCGAATGGATATAGGGTTTCTATTTTGATTATACAAAATGAAACCATAATTTTAATTCCTTTCATTAACAAATACATATCGTTATCTGTACTGTAGATAAGCCTGTTTAAACAGAATGTCTCCCTTGATACAAAAACGCTCTCGTGTATGGCGTGCGGGCCTCGAATAAAGCCAATCTGAGTTGTATTGACAAGAGAAAATCGATATCGATAAATGAAATGTTCTCTCTTTTCATTCCTTCATTTCGTTCGATTTTATCATTTACTATTTTAAGCGCCAATTTTGTTCGGTGCCTTTTTTTGTTATTTTTATTAGTTTTTCTTATTTTAAAGATTTTCTTTAACAATTCTTCGTTGTTTATTGATATTAGACACCATTTTCCATTATTTCTTTTTTTTTTTCTTTCTTTTCTCTCGGACAAATATTTCTTTTATCTTTTAAATTCGTTGTTTATTTTTCCTTTCTGTCATTTCCTTCTTTTCTTTCTGTCTGTAATTTTTTTATCATTTATTTCTAGTAATTCTTTTTCTTCTAAGTTTTTTTCTTCTGTCAAATCAAGTTTTTCCTTTCATTCTGGCAGTTCTTTCAATTTTCCTTTCTGTCTGTTCATTATTTTTATCATATCGTTCAGCTAATTCGTTTTTCTTTGAAGTTTTCTTCTGTCAACTCTTTCGACATTTTTTCCTTTCTGTCCATTCTTTCTATTTTCTTTCTCTTATCTTCTTCCTTTTTATCATTTTTCTGGTAATTCTTTATTTCTTTTAACTTTTCTTCTGTCAACTCTTTCTATATTTTTCCTTTCTTTCTGTCAATTCTTTTTTTTTCTTTCTGTTATCTTCTTTCATTTTATCATTTTTTTCTGGTAATTCTTTTTTCTTTTAAGTTTTCTTCTGTCAAATCTTTCTAAGTTTTTCGTTTTATTCTGGCAGTTCTTTCAATTTTCCTTTCTGTCTATTCTTTATTTTTATCATATCGCTCAGCTAATTCGTTTTTCTTTGAAGCTTTCTTCTATCAACTATCTCGACATTTTTTCCTTTCTGTCAATTCTTTCTTTTTTTTCTTTCTCTTATCTTCTTCTTTTTATCATTTTTCTGCTAATTCTTTATTTCTTTTAACTTTTCTTCTGTCAACTATTTCTATATTTTTCCTTTCATTCTATCAATTCTTTCTTTTTTCTTTCTGCCTGTTGTTTCATATTATCATTTCTTTCTGCTAATTCTTTTTTCTTTTTCGTTTTCTTTTGTCAACGCTTTCAACATTATTCCTTTCTTTCTGTCAATTCTTTCTTTTTTTTCTTTCTCTTCTTTCTTTTTATCATTCTTTCTGTTAATTCTTTCTTCTTGTAACTTTTCTTTTGTCAACGATTCAACATTATTCCTTTCTTTCTGCTAATTCTTTTTTCTTTCAAGTTTTCTCCTGTCACAACTCTTTCTACGTTTTTCTTTTCTTTCCGTCAATTCTTTTTTTTAATTTCTTTTTTTTTCTTTATTTCTGTCTATTATTTCTTCTCTCATTTCTTTCTGCCAATTCTTTTTTCTTTTAACATTAATTCTGTCAACTTTTTCTGTGTTTCATCTTTTTTTCGGTCAATTCTTTCTTCCATGTTTAAATTTTTCTTTCTATTCTCTTCTTTCTTTTTATCATCATTTCTTTCTGTCAATTCTTTTTAATCTCAAGTTTCTTTCCGTCATTTATTTCTCCCTTTCTTTCTGGGATTTCGTTCTTCTTTTTTTCTCTCCTCCAAACAATTTCTTCATTTTGTCCCTTTTTTCAGTTAATTCTTTTTTTTTTTTTTTCTTATAAGGCATTAAATATTACATAGCTGTTTAACACGCCTTTCGGAGTTTTTACGATATTTTCATATATCTTTATTCTTTGCTTATTTTCCGGAAGGCATGTGACTTCGGTATTCGGTGTCATGGTCTCTTTCGAATGTTGCTGTTTGAACATTTTTATAGTAGACATAAAATGATAGTCGTTTCAATCTTCATGGGCATAAAACGGGCGATAAATTAAATAATATTTGGTGTGTCAAATGCCTGCGAGAGGAAAAATATGATATTTACGATGTATATTAAAATGTTTAGATCATAAAAAAACCGGGATAATATCTAACAAGCATATATATATATATATATATATATATATATATATATATATATATATATATATATAGATAGATAGATAGATAGATAGATAGATAGATAGAGAGAGAGAGAGAGAGAGAGAGAGAGATAGGGAGATTTGAACATATTGATATAAACACGTGGATGTAAAGAGACTAAGAAAAGAAGATAGATAGATAGATAGATAGATAGATAGATAGATAGATAGATAGATAGATAGTGTTAAGGGGTCCACCCCTTTTTATACAAGTGGACTCGCCCAGTGTGTACTTGTACTGCTGCCGGTGAATACCCAAGAGAGAGACCGAGAGAGTGAGAGTGTGAGGTAACAGATTTGGAGGAGTCACAGTTGCGAGCACGTAGACTCAGAAGAAATCATACTTCGATCCTGAATTTCGCAGACTGTATATATATATTATTATTGCTACTAACCGCATTTCTGGATCTACTAACCGTATTACCAATTGTATTATTACGTCAATACATTTATTTGCTATATTTCATTCCTGTGTTTGTCATTCATTTGAGACCGGATTTCATCCCTGAATCCACAACAGATAGATAGATAGATAGATAGATATTACGCAATAGATAGACAGATATATAACATAGTCTGGAATAAATAAATAGATAACAAACACGGATATATCTTCAGTTATGTATTGGGTACCTCGAGGTGATGTAATAGTTAGCAAGCTTTTCTCGCTAGAACAATTCCGACTGAGTAGTGAGTTCGATCCTCACTGGGTGCCCCACACTTTCGGCCTTGTGCCACATCCGAGCTACGCTTGGAAAATCGCTATATATTATTATTGCTACTAACCGTATTTCTGGATCTACTAACCGTATTACCAATTGTATTATTACGTCAATACATTTATTTGCTATATTTCATTCCTACGTTTGTCATTCATTTGAGACCGGATTTCATCCCGGAATCCACAACAGATAGATAGATAGATAGATAGATAGATAGATAGATAGATAGATAGATAGTATGCAATAGATAGACAGATATATAACAAATATAGTCTGGAATAAATAAATAGATAACAAACACGGATATATCTTCAGTTATGTATTGGGTACCTCGAGGCGGTGTAATGGTTAGCTGAGTAGTGAGTTCGATCCTCACCTGGTGCCGCCTACTTTCGGCATCGTTATTTCATCTTGCACATATTAAATATGGACGCTGGCAAATGCGAGACATCTAAGCTACGATTGGAAAATTGCAGGCCATCTCGATGTGGTGTAATGTTTATAAAGTTCGTCATGCTAGATAAATTACGATTGAGTAGTGAGTTCGATTCTCACTGTGTGCCGCATACTTTCGGCCTTGTGTCACATTTAACTGTGCTTAGAAAATCACCATCTTCGGTTAAGTATTATTGTTCGTCGTTATTTCATCGTGCACGTGTTAAATATATGGACACTGTCAAATGCGAGACAGTGCGTGGTTTACATCTTCTGTTTTATATAATTGCCATGTAGCTACCTTTATATTTTGCGTTGTTATTCAATCAAATTCCCAATATAAGGATGCCTTTCTTTTCATCTGGCAATCGAGGCACACTGCCAAATGTAACAAATGACACTTTTCCCAAATGCTCGTCATATCCATTTAATAATGAAATAACCCAAAGTGAATCATTAACGCAGGCGTTCCCTCATCTAGCGCCAATGTGACATTTGATTAACACTTTTAATTCGATTACATGACAGCCGATTGTTTAGAACGTGCGCTTCCCGCCCACAAATCCATGGTCGATTTGTCTTGAAGGTGACTTCTTGAAATCATCAGCCTGGGGAGGTGATTTCGACGTGAAACACTTTTAGAAATTGACTGAAAACCATATCACGGGTTGACCCAAGCCTTGTGAGTGAAATTAGTTCGACGGAACTATTTGTGAAGCCGTCGATAGTTGTGCTCGCACAAAGTCACAAGTCATTGTGACCGAGGGTTTGAAGATGCTCCCGTTGCTTAGACTGTTGATCACGCCAAATGGTGCGTTCTCTCGCAGAAATTGTAACCAAGGTCCGCTCAGCATAGATGCAGTACAATCCACAGGTGGGCTCTATGCGTATTGAACAAACTGAAAGAATCTGCCTGAGTAGACGTCTGCAACAGGGATTGGCAAGCCCCCCTAGTAGACCGGCATACTCGTATCCGAGTATGCCTGTCTAAAATTCGAAAATTAAAATGATCATTTTAAGTTTCGAATTTTATATATGTCTTATTTAGGAGTAAAAATTACGCGTTTTACGTAAGCCTAAGCGTTTTTCGTCGAATTAAATTCATTCTGACGAGGTACCACGTTACTGGAAAAAGGATTCAAATATCCTCAATGTAAGGGTATTTCTTGTATATATATATACATTGGTTCAAGGGAAAGAAAGTTAAAAACAAGGTTTTACAACCATAAATCATCCTTCAAGTTAGTAAAGTATAAAAAACAGTACAAGATTGCAATTTATATATAGGAGTTGAAGAAGAAAAATAAAGAAAGCCCTATTGTAAAATGAAATGTGATGAAGAAGACCCTTATAATTAGTGTCGGGAACAAAATCTGTAAATTCTTTTGTTTTTAATTATTTCACGCAAGAATTTGCAGAAAGTGAAAGTGAAAGTGAATGGTTAGATTGAAAATGGGTATGATTAAGGCAAGAGCAAAAAAGGAACATGCTTCAAGACAGAAGATGGCGACTGACGTTGCAAGGGAAGCAAGAAATCTGATGTGAGTTCCACAGATGGAAAGTGCGAGAAAAAAAACAACTTTTTGGTTAGAAATGACGGCTGCATCTAGCTACTGCAACATTAACCCTAGAACACTAACCATAGGTATATAGTACCCAGCGTAAATTTTCCTATATTTAATTACAATTTTCAGTACCTGATTTTCTTACGTAAATAATGTTTTTTAGTTTCTATTAATGTTAACTCAAAGTACAAAGTTTGAAGTGCCTGCATGTAAAATATTTCAAATAAAGATTTATATATATATATATATATATATATATATATATATATATATATAATGTAATTTTCAAAATCGTGTATGATATACCCATGGTTAGTAGGGTGTAACTTTAATTGATGGTTAGTGTTCTAGGGTTAAAAGGGCGAAACCTAATTGCCAATCTAGTAGCACGCTTAAGTTCATTTAGTCGGGGTATATATATATATATATTTCACATCACCATGCTCCATATGTTCACTCATATTATGGAGAGTTGAAAATAAACGTATGCTAGATATGTTGAGTACTATGGGTGTCATATGGCGGGTATTATTCTGTTGGAACTGTACATCGCATTTCTGTTGCAGAATTTATTTTGGGAGAACGTCCGAGCCAAAATTGGTAGAACAGGCAGAAGGAGCTACATCAGGTCGGTGAGAAAATGACTTGAGACGAGATGCCTGGTGAGGACCGATTGTATTGCAGACCCTTCTCTGGATTTTGTAAAAAAAAATCTCGAGATTCACAGCAGGGGCACCAGACCAGAAATGGCAACAGGATTCAATATACAGACGAATCGTAGATTTATAACTGTGTGAGATGGATTCTGACAAGAAAAGGAGGAATTGGTAAATATGCATTACCCTGAACAAAATTAGCTGCCAAATGAAAGATCGGAGTATACGGCGGCGTGCAAGGATACCAGAAAATTGCTGCTAGCTATGAATCCAGGTGAGAATAATTATACCTCTCTGACAACAATTCAATTAAGGATTCATTTAAACATACACGAAAACCTACCGAACTGCATCCGGAACATACTTGTAGAAAATACAGACAGCTTCAGTCCTGTCTAAAAATAACGAAAGCACTAATAATCAAAAAGAAAATGTCAACCCCCAATAACATCAACTATAAAAACGGCCAGAATATGCTGACCATATTTAGAAAATAAAAAAAATACATTGCCATCACACTAAATCCATACATAAAAATCCATACATTGAGTTAAAGATAAAAAAAACAGCCTTGACAATGCCTAACAGAATAGCCGAAATCGCTCGGAAATATAGAGCATTTAGATAATTATACACACACTTTATATCCAAATGTAAACATACGAACACAAAAAAATTAAATAAAAAAATAATCTTTTTTTTTCACTTTTCAGTCGCGTGTATGAAATAAAAGGGATGGCTGCCGAAATACACAATTTATATATATATATATATATATATATATATATATATATATATATATTCAGAATTATGTGTATATATATATATATATATATATATATATATATATATATATATATATATATATAAGAGATATACTCTTTAAGGTGTGCTATATTTATGGGATAAAGTGGTCAATATCAGAGATAGATTGTCAAATGTACATGGCTCAGTGGTAGGAGCTCTGACTGACACCAAATCTGTTTCAGGTTTGAGGCATTCGGTTGTCTCGTCGCACTGAGGTAGGACAAAACGTTTACTGTAATGAATATATATATATATATATATATATATATATATATATATATATATATATATATATATATATATATATATATATATATATATATATATATATATATATATATATATATATATATATATAAAAATTGTTCCAATAATTTGAACTGATTTATAAATGAGAATTGATTTCAAGCGTTTAATGTTATTTTTATTTTTCTTTCAGATTCGGCGGATATTTGGGCGATATTATTTTTCACAAATAATTGCCATGACTGAAATAACATGACCCAATAGAGAAATAAATCATTTTTAACCATTAAGATTGATTTATGTCCTGCTGACTTCTTTGATGCGTCTCAATGAAACACACATATATAATCAATCTTAATTAAACACCCTTTATATATATATATATATATATATATATATATATATAGCATAATAAGAAGCCACGTATACTTTCTTAATATGTATATATAAAAAAATAAAAACAAAGTTGCAAATTAAAAAATAACAATGTCTTTTATAAAAGTATTTTATATATATATATATATATATATATATATATATATATATATATATAACAACATGGAGGCTTGAACAATACATGTCTGACAATTCGTCTATTGCGAGACATCTACATCAAAATTCTGTCCACGTTATGTACTACTTGCACCCCTGAAGATTATTTTGAAGAAGTACTTGGGGAAATGAAAATAAAAGAAATGTAATACAGTACTTACAGCACATTTCTCTCATCGTTTAACACAAGGAAGGTTATTCGTGAGTACGAACGGATTTTGTTACAAATTAGCAGACATAATGTGTGTAATTTATTCAATCAGACATGCCTAAAAGAGAACTTACTGCCTATCTCTCTCTCTCACCTCTCTCTCTCTCTCTCTCTCTCTCTATATATATATATATATATATATATATATATATATATATATATATATTATATTATATCATAATAAAAGTTCGATTATATATAGATTTAAATGTCAGTGCGAAGCTGAATACAGAGGGCGAACATGTCTTCGTTTGGAAACAAGAATCGGACAACATGTACCCAGACACATTAAATTAAATTTAGATAATCGCATTCGTGTTTCGCAATCAGCTCACGATTCGGCGATCGGGCAACACCTATTAGAAAATGAGTCATGCTCAAAACGTTTCACAATGGACTCGTTTTCAATTATATGCGTAGGCAGGTCCAAATATCATCTGTCTATTTTGGAAGCCATCTGCCTCAAATTATTTAAACCATCGCTTTCTAAACAAAAGGAGAATTTTTCACGATCGCTAAATTTATTTTTTGATATATGAGCAACTTATTTTCCTATCTTACTGCTCAGATTGGTTCATTATTATTAATTCATTATTTACGCATTTATTTTAATCGTAAATTTATTTTAATTTTACGTATATATATCTTCGTAAAATTTTTAGACGTGTTCAACCATACCATTTTGGCGTTCTTTTCATTTTCATTATTTGTTTAAAATCATTTGCCAACGAAAGACCCTGATGAAGCGTTGGCCGAAAGGTACCTAGGTCCAAAAAAAAAAAAAAAAAAAAAAAAAAAAAA